GCTCTCCAAGGATGTCAGGGACAAGATTGTAGACCTACACAAGCCTGGAATGGGCTACAAGACCATCGCTAAGCAGCTTGGTGAGAAGTTGACAACAGTTGGTGCGATTATTCGCAAATGGAAGAAACACAAAAGAACTGTCAATCTACCTCGGCCTGGGGCTCCATGCAAGATCTCACCTCGTGGAGTTGCAATGATCATGAAAACGGTGAGGAATCAGCCCAGAACTACACGGGAGGATCTTGTCAATGATCATAAGGCAGCTGGGACCATAGTCACCAAGAAAACAATTGGTAACACACTACGCCGTGAAGGACTGAAATCCTGCAGCGCCCGCAAGGTCCCCCTGCTCAAGAAAGCACATATACATGCTCGTCTGAAGTTTGCCAATGAACATCTGAATGATTCAGAGGAGAACTGGGTGAAAGTGTTGTGGTCAGATGAGACCAAAATGGAGCTCTTTGGCATCAACTCAACTCGCCGTGTTTGGAGGAGGAGGAATGCTGCCTATGACCCCAAGAACACCATCCCCACCGTCAAACATGGAGGTGGAAACATTATGCTTTGGGGGTGTTTTTCTGCTAAGGGGACAGGACAACTTCCCCGCATCAAAAGGACGATGGACGGGGCCATGTATCGTCAAATATTGTGTGAGAACCTCCTTCCCTCAGCCAGGGCATTGAAAATGGGTTGTGGATGGGTATTCTAGCATGACAATGACCCAAAACACATGGCCAAGGCAACAAAGGAGGGCTCAAGAAGAAGCACATTAGGGTCCTGGAGTTGCCTATCCAGTCTCCAGACCTTAATCCCATAGAAAATCTGTGGAGGGAGCTGAAGGTTCGAGCTGCGAAACGTCAGCCTCGAAACCTTAATGACTTGGAGAAGATCTGCAAAGAGGAGTGGGACAAAATCCCTCCTGAGATGTGTGCAAACCTGGTGGCCAACTACAAGAAACGTCTGACCTCTGTGATTGCCAACAAGGGTTTTGCCACCAAGTACTAAGTAATGTTCAGTAATGCTCACTGTTCAAATAAACCTACCATTAAAATTATAGACTGATCATTTCTTTGTCAGTGGGCAAACAGCAGGGGATCAAATACTTTTTTCCCTCACTGTAAATACTGTACGTATTTAAATTGTTGTTATTTCTTATTTCTAGTGGCTGCCACGCCCCCCAGAGGCCAAATTAGGGGTGGCTCCATATCTCTATATTTTCAGGGTACATACATCTACAGTGCCTTCGGAAAGTATTCAGACCCCTTGACTTTTTCCACATTTAGTTACATTACAGCCTTATTCTAAAATTGATTAAATCAATAAAAATAATCTTCAATCTACACACAATACCCCATAATGACAAAGAAAAAACAGGTTTTTAGAAATGTTTGCTAATGTATTAAAAATAAAAAACAGAAATACCTTATTTACATAAGTATTCAGACCCTTTGCTATGAGACTCGAAATTGAGCTCAGGTGTATCCTGTTTCCATTGATCATCCTTGAGATATTTCTACAACTTGATTGAGTCCACCTGTGGTAAATGAAATTGATTGGACATGATTTGGAAAGGCACACACCTGTCTATATAAGGTCCCACAGTTGACAGTGCATGTCAGAGCAACAACCAAGCCATGAGGTTGAGGGAATTAGAGCTCCGAGACAGGATTGTGTCAAAGCACAGATCTGGGGAAGGGTACCAAAACATTTCTGCAGCATTGAAGGTCCCCAAGAACACAGTGGCCTCCATCATTCTTAAATGGAAGAAGTTTGGAACCACCAAGACTCTTCCTAGAGCTGGCTGCCCGGCCAAACTGAGCAATCGGGGGAGAAGGGCCTTGGTCAGGGAGGTGACCAAGAACCCGATGGTCACTCTGACAGAGCTCTAGAGTTCCTCTGTGGAGATGGGAGAACCTTCCAGAAGGACAACCATCTCTGTGGTCCTCTGTAGCTCAGCTGGTAGAGCACGGCGCTTGTAACGCCAAGGTAGTGGGTTCGATCCCCGGGACCACCCATACACAAAAATGTATGCACGCATGACTGTAAGTCGCTTTGGATAAAAGCGTCTGCTAAATGGCATATTATTATTATATTATTATTATTATTTCTGCAGCACTCCACCAATCAGGCCTTTATGGTAGAGTGGTCAGACGGAAGCCACTCCTCAGTAAAGGCACATGACAGCCTGCTTGGAGTTTGCCAAAAGGCACCTAAAGACTCTCAGACCATGAGAAACAAGATTCTCTGGTCTGATGAAACCAAGATGAAACTCTTTGGCCTGAATGCCAAGCGTCACATCTGGAGGAAACCTGGCCCCATCCCTACGGTGAAGCATGGTGGTGGCAGTATCATGCTGTGGGGATGTGTTTCAGCGGCAGGGACTGGAAGACTAGTCAGGATCAAGGCAAAGATGAACGGAGCAAAGTACAGAGAGATCCTTGATGAAAACCTGCTCCAGAGTGCTCAGGACCTCAGACTGGGGCGAAGGTTCACCTTCCAACAGGACAACGACCCTAAGCACACAGGCAAGACAACGCAGGAGTGGCTTCGGGACAAGTCTCTGAACGTCCTTGAGTGGCCCAGCCAGAGCCCGGACTTGAACCCGATCGAACATCTCTGGAGAGACCTGAAAACAGCTGTGCAGCAACGCTCCCAATCCAACCTGACAGAGCTTGAGAGGATCTGCAGAGAAGAATGGGAGAAACTCCCCAAATACAGGTGTGCCAAGCTTGTAGCGTCATACCCAAGAAGACTTGAGGGTGTAATCGCTGCCAAAGGTGCTTCAACAAAGTACTGAGTAAAGGGTCTGAATACTTATGTAAATGTGAAAATAATCACTATACTTTATTAAAAATCAAAGTTCTTTCAGAGTTTTTGTAGAATCAAGAATGACTTTTACAATTTCAGCAAAGTCAGGCTAATCTGCAGATTAGGGCCCCTCTATATAGTCCCATTCTCATCCCTTCTAGCTCAAAACCCCTCCCTCTTCAGTTTCCCGCTCTTTATTGCTCCGCCCACTTCCTTTGTCTGTGATGGCGGCTAAATTCGACTTTCATTCAGTTCACAATCAATAGTAATACAATCAATCAAATTCCTTATCTTGCAAAAACACTCATGTTTAGTTTAAACTCTGTTCAACCCCGGCTCTCCCGACATGACAGGTCCATACTTAAATCTTTCAAACATACACAAAACCCCACCCCATCATGCTGTAATCAATCAAGAAGATAGCCAAGGAGAGACAGAGGTTTAGCCTGAACTCTGTCCAACCCTGGCCGCTTTTTCCACTTTGTTTGAGGAGAGAAGCAAAAGGCCACAGTCTGGTTTCAGTCTCTCATAAAGTAGGACAGGCTTGGATTTAAGTAAGAGCGAGCAATTCGACCCGAGGTCAGATTCCCACTTTACCCACACAGTGAAATTACCCAATTAAGTTCCTGGCCCAGCAACAAAGAATTCTAACTCTATGTTCGTGATTAACCCAGTTTTATCTCATAGTCCACTAAAAAATACCCATCAATATTTCAGTTTGTTATTTTTAATACATTTGCAAAGATTTCTGAAAACCTGTTTTCGCTTTGTCATTATGGGGTATTGTGTGTAGATTGATGAGGGGAAAAAAACTATTTCATCAATTTTAGAATAAGGCTGTAACGTAACAAAATGTGGAAAAAGTCAAGGGGTCTGAACACTTTCCAAATGCACTGTACCTCTGTGCCACATTTGGTGCTTGTATCACAAACTAGTTTTTACTATGAGTCCACATTTACAGCACCACAATACAAAAGAGAGATTATTTTTCATTCCTCCACAACACAGAATTATATTCTATTCCATTCCATTCCTCCATATTAACACAGAAATCATGGTAAATTGGGTTTTTATTTAGGTAACTAGTTGCTTGACAAAGTCCTACATTTTCAGAACAATATTTTATTTTTTTGCAAAATGATGACGTTTTTTTGATGGTCCTTTTAGGATTGGTGCTTTTAGGATTCAAGTTAATTTCCGATTGAGCCGAAATATCCAGCGTTTACCATGAATGGGGGAACACATATCCAGCGTTTACCATGAATGGGGGAACACATATCCAGCGTTTACCATGAATGGGGGAACACATATCCAGCGTTTACCATGAATGGGGGAACACATATCCAGCGTTTACCATGAATGGGGGAACACATATCCAGCGTTTACCATGAATGGGGGAACACATATCCAGCGTTTACCATGAATGGGGGAACACATATCCAGCGTTTACCATGAATGGGGGAACACATATCCAGCGTTTACCATGAATGGGGGAACACATATCCAGCGTTTATCATGAATGGGGGAACACATATCCAGCGTTTACCATGAATGGGGGAACACATATCCAGCGTTTACCATGAATGGGGGAACACATATCCAGCGTTTACCATGAATGGGGGAACATTGCCTTTAAAAGGTGCACAGCCAAAAAGGGGGACGATCAGATTGAATCCTGTCCTAAACTACCTTACCCTTAACCCTTAACCCTTAACCCTTAACCCTTAACCCTTAACCCTTAACCTTAACCCTTTCAGAACCCTAACCGTGAACTAACTACATGTAAATATGTTGACCTGTCTCTACCTGTGTTGTTGTTGTTGTTGTTGTGTAGAACACCTTACAGCCTGAAGAGTCCAGCCCGTCCCCAGACCCCAAATCCAGCCCTCGCATGTCCAGAGCCAGCGTCTTCATCACACAGATACTACAGGTAATACACACACACACACACACACACACACACACACACACACACACACACGCGCACACACGCACACACGCACACACACGCACACACGCACACATACGCACATGCACACACACATTTCCGCATTTAAAGTGCTGTGTGTGTGTGTGTGTGTGTGTGTGTGTGTGTGTGCGTGTGTGAGTGTGTGTGTGTGTGTGTGTGCGTGCGTGTGTGTGTGTGTGTGTGTGTGTAGTTTGTCAGCAGGGTGGATAACAAGATAAGCGCCATGAACAGCAGTGAGCGTGTTCGCATCGTACACCTACAACCAAACCCTAACCCTACACCCTACACCTAGCTACACCTACACCCTACACCCTACACCCTACACCACTACACCCTACACCCTACACCCTACACACACCTACAACCCTACACCCTCCCACTAACACCCTACACCCTACACCCTACACCCTACACCCCTACACCTACACCACCTACCACTACACCCTCCACACCTACACCCTACACCCTACACCCTACACCTACACACTACACCTACAACTACACCCTACAGCCTACACACTACACACACCCTACACACTACACACTACACCCTACTACAACCCTACACCCTACACCCTACACCCTACAACCCTACACCCTACACCTACACCTACACCCTACACCCTACACACCTACACCTACACCTACACACCTACACCACACCCTACACACCTACAACAACCTACACCCACACACACTACACACCAGCTACACTAACCCTACACCCTACACCTACACCCTACACCCTACACCCTACACCTACACCTACACACCTACATACACCTACACACCTACACCCTACACACACCACCCTACAATACACCACACCACTACCCCTACAACCTACACCCTACACCCTACACCCTACACACCCTACACCCTACACCCTACACTCCTACAACCTACACCCTACACACACACTACACCCTACACCCTACACCCTACACACTACCAACCCTACACCCTACACCTACACCACACCTAACCCTACACACAGCCTACACCCTAACCAACATACACACTACACCCTACCGCCTACACTACACCCTACACCTACACACACCTAAACCCTACACCTACCTACACTGACACCACTCACCCTACACCCTACACCTACACCCTAACCCTACACTACACCCTACACCTACACAACCACCCTACACCACCCACCCTACACCACACACCTACACCCTACACCCTACACCTGCCTACACCCTACACCTACACCCTACACCACACCTCACACACCCTACACCCTACACACTACACCCTACACCTACACACTACACCCTACACCCTACACCACTACACCCTACACCCTACACAACTACACCCTACACCTACACCCACTACACCCTACACCTACACCCTACACCCTACACCTACACCACCTACACACACACCTACACCCTACACACCTACACCCTACCACTACACCCTACACCACTACACCCTAACCACACACCTACACCTACACCTCCACCCACACCACCCTACACCTACACCCACCTACCTACACCACCACTACACCCTACACCTCACCGCACCTACACCACTACACCCTACACCTACACACACCTACACCCTAACCCACCTACACCCCTACACCTACCCCTACAACAAACCCTACCACAACCTACACCACCTACACCTACACCTACACCCTACACCCTACACCCTACACCTACACCCTACACACTACACCTACACCCTACACCTACCCTACCACTACACCTACACCCTACACCTACACCACCCTACACCCCAACACTACACCCACCACTACACCCTACACACTACACCACCACCCTACACCCTACCACACCCTACACCCTACACCCTACACCTACACCCTACACCCTACACCCTACACCTACACCTACACACTACACCTACACATACACCCACTAACCCTACACACTACACCTAAACACCCGACACCCTACACCTACACCTCAACACCTACACACTACACCCTACACACCACACCCTACACCCACACCTACACCCTACCCAACACCCACACACACTCCACCCTACCACACTAAAACCAACCTACACCTACACACTACACCTCAACACCCACAAAAAAACACACCCTACAACACCCCTACACCCAACACCCTCACCAACACCACACCACACCCTCCACACAGCCCCTACAACACACCCTACACCCTACACACTACACCCCTACACACAACCCTACACCTACACCCTAACACACTACACCCTACACCAAACAAACCCTACACACCAACCTACACCCTACACACACCACACACCTACCACACCTACACCCACACCCTACACACTACACCCTACACTACACCCTACACTACACCCTACACCCTACACCCACACCACACTACACCCTACCCTACACCCTACACTACACCCTACACTACAACTACAACCCTACACACTACACCCCTACCACCCTACAACCACCCCACCCACAATACCACCCTACACCCTACACAACTTACACACACCTACCACACACACACTAACACCCTAACACCTACACCCTACACACACACCCACACACACACACACACACCCTACACCCACACCTAAACCCTACAACACACCCTACACCTACACCCGACAGACACACCACAGCACCCAACACAAAAAACACAACCCCCCTACCCCTACCAACACCCTACACCTACACACACACCCTAAAACACTACACCCTCCCACCCACAGCCTACACACCCCCTACACCCTACACCAAACACCCTACACCCTACAGCCTACCTTACTACACCCTACAACACTACACCCTACACACTACACACTACACCCTACAGCCTACATACTACACCCTACACACTACACCCTACAGCCTACACTTACACCCTACAGCCTACATACTACACCCTACACACTACACCCTACACACTACACACTACACCCTACAGCCTACATACTACACCCTACACACTACACCCTACAGCCTACAGCCTACACCCTACACCCTACAGCCTACACCCTACACCCTACACCCTACAAACTACATGTAGCTCAGTTGGTAGAGCATGGCGTTTGCAACGCCAGGGTTGTGGGTTCGATTCCCACGGGGGGCCAGTGTGAAAAATAAAAATGTATGCACTCACTAACTGTAAGTCGCTCTGGATAAGAGCGTCTGCTAAATGACTAAAATGTAATAAACTGAACAAGTTCCACAGACATGTGACTAACAGAAATGGAATAATGTGTCCCTGAACAAAGGGGGGGTCAAAATCTAAAAGTAACAGTCAGTATCTGGTGTTGCCACCAGCTGCATTAAGTACTGCAGTGATTCTCCTCCTCATGGACTGCACCAGATCTGCCAGTTCTTGCTGTGAGATGTTACCCCACTCTTCCACCAAGGCACCTGCAAATTCCCGAAAATTTCTGGGGGGGATGGCCCTATCCCTCACCCTCCGATCCAACAGGTCCCAGACATGCTCAATGGGATTGAGATCCGGGCTCTTCGCTGGCCATGGCAGAACACTGACATTCCTGTCTTGCAGGAAAACAAGCACAGAACGAGCAGTATGGCTGGTGGCATTGTCATGCTGGAGGGTCATGTCAGGATGAGCCTGCAGGAAGGGTACCACATGGATGTCTTTCCTGTAACGCACAGCGTTGAGATTGCCTGCAATGACAACAAGATCAGTCCGATGATGCTGTGACACACCGCCCTAGACCATGACGGACCCTCCACCTCCAAATCGATCCCGCTCCAGAGTACAGGCCTCGGTGTAACTCTCATTCCTTCGACGATAAACACAAATCCGACCATCACCCCTTGTGAGACACCGATCCTGTGCAGGTGTTGTTACATGTGGTCTGCCACTGCGAGGACGATCAGCTGTCCGTCCTGTCTCCCTGTAGCACTGTCACAGTACAGACATTGCAATTTATTGCCCTGGCCACATCTGCTGTCCTCATGCCTCCTTGCAGCATGCCTAAGGCACGTTCACGCAGATGAGCAGGGACCCTTGGCATCTTTCTTTTGGTGTTTTTCAGATTCAGTAGAAAGGCCTCTTTAGTGTCCTAAGTTTTCATAACTGTGACCTTAATTTCCTACCGTCTGTAAGCTGTTAGTGTCTTAACGACCGTTCCACAGGTGCATGTTCATTAATTGTTTATGGTTCATTGAACAAGCATGGGAAACAGTGTTTAAACCCTTTACAATGAAGATCTGTGAAGTTATTTGGATTTTTAAGAATTATCTTTGAGAGACAGGGTCCTGAAAAAGGGACGTTTATTTTTTTGCTGAGTTTACCTATACACTACACCTGTCTCTCTCTCTCTATATGTATAATTTATATATATATGCACTGTATATCATTATATACCCTACACCCTGTACCGTTTACAATGTGTGTGTGTGTGTGTGTGTGTGTGTGTGTGTGTGTGTGTGTGTGTGTGTGTGTGTGTGTGTGTGAAGACTGTGCAGACCCAGACAGTGATCTGAGTAGGGGTGTGAGCCTGGTTCCGTACAGCCTGGTCTCCCCCCAGCGGGTCCAGAGGAAGAGGCCGGTTCTGATCAGTCCAACCAGTCTGGCCCGGACCATTATACAGAAGATACTCAACATGGGGGGAGCCATGGACTTCAACATCTGCAAACCAGGTTGGGTTGTGTGTGTGTGTGTGTGTGTGTGTTTGTGTTTAAAATGATTTTGTTATATTATATTATATTAAAGGTAATGTATTGCAGACGTCCTAACGAAAGAAGAGTTCCTAATGAGACAGAGGCTTGAACCCATCATCTCCTCCAGAGAGAAACACACGAACACCTACGAGGTTGTCTCTCCTGAGAACATAGAGGCCGTTGCTGCAAAGGTACATACTATTTTACATCTTGACTGATTTATTTTTTATAGAACCTTTATTTTAGCAGGGAGTCCCATGGAGACCAAGGCCTCTTTTCCAATGCAACGTCATAAAACCAGACAATATTACAAGCAATTTAAGAATCAAACACATTCCTCAACAATTTTTTTTTACTTGAGAAATACTGCACCAAACACCTTACTTAGATGTAAAATTGCGCAACTAAAACATTCTTGGCAAAAACTTCAATATTAATTATAGATTTCTTAAGTTATCTTAGATACATTCTGGGAATTTTGAGTGAAATAGGCTTCTGCATCTACAGTATCTCATGGGGGACAAACATCATTAACCAAACGCAGAATCGGTCAGGAAACACACCTCCAAGACTGAAATCTCGTTTTTTTCGAATGAACAACAGAAAAACACGTGCCAATCGGGTGTTCAGTAGTTTAACAACTTGAACTGCCCTGGAGGCACCTGAGCATCAAGGTGCAGAGAGCTCTGCAATAACATCTGCTAAACAAGTGATTGCGACCAATAACATTTTATTTTATTGTATTTCATTTAATTGTATCATTCCATACACGGGTGAAAGCAGATTTCCCTAATTCTGTAGTTACCCATCCCTGTGATCAGGTCAGGTGACTCGTATGTCACTAATTTAACTAAGAAGTAAGGTATGAAGGAAGTTTGCTTTATAAACAAAACAATAGAATCAAGTAAAATCTCATTTTATTTGTCACGTGCCGAATACAACAAGTGTAGACTTTACCATTAAATGCTTACTTATGAGCCCTTTCCCACAATGCAGTTCAAAAGTACGAACATGTATAAATAGATACAAAGAAAACAGTAACACAATAAAATAAAGATAACGAGGCTATATACAGGCTATATACAGCTATATACAGCTATATACAGGCTATATACAGGCTATATACAGGCTATATACAGGCTATATACAGGCTATATACAGCTATATACAGGCTATATACAGCTATATACAGCTATATACAGGCTATATACAGGCTATATACAGGCTATATACAGCTATATACAGCTATATACAGGCTATATACAGGCTATATAACAGGCTATATACAGCTATATACAGCTTATACAGCTATATAAAGGCTATAATACAGCTATATACAGGCTATATACAGGCTATATACAGCTATATACAGGCATATATACAGGCTATATACAGCTAAAGCTATATACAGGCTATATACAGGCTATATTACAGGCTATATACAGCTATATACAGGCTAATACAGGCTATATACAGCTATATACAGGCTATATACAGGCTATATACAGCTATATACAGGCTATATACAGCTATATACAGCTATATACAGGCTATATACAGCTATATACAGGCTATATACAGCTATATACAGGCTATATACAGGCTATATACAGGCTATATACAGGCTATATACAGGCTATATACAGGCTATATACAGGCTATATACAGCTATATACAGCTATATACAGGCTATATACAGGCTATATACAGGCTATATACAGGCTATATACAGCTATATACAGGCTATATACAGGCTATATACAGGCTATATACAGGCTATATACAGGCTATATACAGCTATATACAGGCTATATACAGGCTATATACAGGCTATATACAGGCTATATACAGGCTATATACAGGCTATATACAGGCTATATACAGGCTATATACAGCTATATACAGGCTATATACAGGCTATATACAGGCTATATACAGGCTATATACAGGCTATATACAGCTATATACAGGCTATATACAGGCTATATACAGGCTATATACAGTCTATATACAGGCTATATACAGGCTATATACAGGCTATATACAGCTATATACAGCTATATACAGGCTATATACAGGCTATATACAGCTATATACAGGCTATATACAGGCTATATACAGGCTATATACAGGCTATATACAGGCTATATACAGGCTATATACAGGCTATATACAGGCTATATACAGGCTAATATACAGGCTTATACAGCTATATACAGGCTATATACAGTCTATATACAGGCTATATACAGGCTATATACAGGCTATATACAGGCTATATACAGTCTATATACAGGCTATATACAGGCTATGACAGGCTATATACGGTATATACAGGCTATATACAGCTATATACAGGCTATATACAGCTATATACAGCTATATACAGGCTATATAACAGGCTATATACAGGCTATATACAGGCTATTACAGCTATATAACAGACTGTACTGGGATTTCAGGTATATGACAGGCTATATACAGTGTATTAAGTGCTATATACAGGCATATACAGTATAAACAGGCTCTTAGGTTATACAGGCTATTACAGGCTATATAGTATACAGCTGTAGACTGGTGTTGTACCAGGCCTGATACAGGTAGTAGGTAACGACGTCTGTTTACGGTACTGGACAGGTAGTTGAGGAACGACTTGACTTGGTATTCGGTACAGCTAGGTTACGGTAGTAGAGAGAAAGACTGTGACATGTGGTTATGTACGCACAGTAAGAGAACAGCTGTGTACTTGGTTTACTGTTACAGTCTATAGGTTAGTAAGGAACCTACTGTACGTTGGTGTTCGGTACCGCCTGCCTACGTGTAGAGAGAGAACAGACTGTGACTTGGTGTTCCGGTACCGCCTGCCGTACAGTAGTAGAGAGAACAGACTGTGACTTGGTGTTCCGGTACCGCCTGCCGTACGGTAGTAGAGAGAACAGACTGTGACTTGGTGTTCCGGTACCGCCTGCCGTACAGTAGTAGAGAGAACAGACTGTGACTTGGTGTTCCGGTACCGCCTGCCGTACAGTAGTAGAGAGAACAGACTGTGACTTGGTGTTCCGGTACCGCTGCCGTCAGTAGTAGAGAGAACAGACTGTGACTTGGTGTTCGGTACCGCCTGCGTACAGTAGTAGAGAGAACAGACTGTGACTTGGTGTTCCGGTACCGCCTGCCGTACAGTAGTAGAGAGAACAGACTGTGACTTGGTGTTCTGATGTACCGCTGCCGTACAGTAGTAGAGAGAACAGACTGTGACTTGGTGTTCCGGTACCGCCTGCTGTACGGTAGTAAAGAGAACAGACTGTGACTTGGTGTTCCGGTACCGCCTGCCGTACAGTAGTAGAGAGAACAGACTGCGACTTGGGTGGCTGGAGTCTTTGACAATTGTAGGGCCTTCCTCTGACACCGCCTGGTATAGAGCTCCTGGATGTAAGGGAGCTCGGCCCCAGTGATGCACTGGGCCATACGCACTACCCTCTGTAGCGCCTTGTGGTCGGATGCTGTGCAGTTTTCATACCAAGCGGTTATGCAGCCAGTCAAGATGGTCTCAGCATATCATGGCTACAGATGTGTGTGCTACGGAGCGATAGTAATTTAGACAGGTTACCCTGGCGTTCTTGGGCACGGGGTCTGTGGTGGTCTGCTTGAAACCTGTAGGTACTACAGACTGGCTCAGGGAGAGGTTGAAAATGTCAGTGAAGACACTTGCCAGCTGGTCAGCGCATGCTCTGAGTAAACGTCCTGTGAATGTTGACCTGTTTAAAGTTCTTACTCACATTGGCTACGGAGAGCATGATCAAACAGTCATCTGGAACAGCTGGTGCTCTCATGCATTGTTCCATGTTGCTTGCCTCGAAGCGAGCATAGAAGGCATTTAGCTCATCTGGTAGGCTCGCATCACTGGTCAACTCGCGGCTGGGTTTTCCTTTGCAATCCATGATCAATCAATCAATCAATCAAAATCAATCCAATTTTATTTATAAAGACCTTTTTACATCAGCAGATGTCACAAAGTGCTATACAGAAACCCAGCCTAAAACCCCAAACAGCAGCAATGCAGATGTAGAAGCACGGTGGCTAGGAAAAACTCCCTAGAAAGGCAGGAACCTAGGAAGAAACCTAGAGAGGAACCAGGCTCTGAGGGGTGGCCAGTCCCCTTCTGGCTGTGCAGGGTGGAGATTATAACAGTACATGGCCATAAAGGCCAGATTATTCTCCAAAATGTTCAAACGTTCATAGATGACCAGCAGGGTCAAATAATAATCACAGTGGTTGTAGAGGTTGCAACAGGTCAGTACATCAGGAGTAAGTACATTTCACTTGGCTTTTCATAGCCAGGCAATTAGAGGTTGAAATAGCAGGTGCGGTAGAGAGAGAGTTGAAAACAGCAGGTCTGGGACAAGGTAGCACGTCCGGTGAACAGGTCAGAAGAGTGGAAACTGGAGCAGCAGCATGACCAGGTGGACTGGGGACAGCAAGGAGTCATCAAGCCAGGTAGTCCTGAGGCATGGTCCTAGGGTTCAGGTCCTCCGGGAGGGGAGGGAGAGAGAGAGAGGGAGAGAAAGAGAGAAAATTAGATATGGCCTTAGTTTGCCAACCCTGCCACATCCGATGAGCGTCAGAGCCGGTGTAATAGGATTTGATTTTAGTCCTGTATTGACGCTTTGTCTTTTTGATGGTTCGTCGGAAGGCGTAGCAGGATTTCTTATAAGCGTCCGGATTTGTGTCCGCTCCTTGAAAGCGGCAGCTCTAGCCTATAATCCATGGCTTCTGGTTGGGATATGTACAGTACGTATGGTCACTGTGGGGACTACATTGTTGATGCACGTATTAATTAAGCCGGTGACTGATGTGGTAAACTCCTCAATGCCATCAGATGAATCCCGGATCATATTCCAGTCTGTGCTAGAGAAACAGTCCTGTAGCTTAGCATCCACTTCATGGGACCACTTCCGTATTTAGCACATCACTGGTACTTCCTGTTTGAGTTTTTGCTTGTAAACAGGAATTAAGAGGATGGAGTTATGGTCAGATTTGCCAAATGGAGGGCGAGGGAGAGCGTTGTTTGTTTCTCTGTGTGTAGAGTTGAGGTGATCTAAAGTTTTTTCTTGTCTAGTTGCACAGGAGACATACTGGTAAAAATGAGGTAAAACGGATTTCTGTTTCCCTGCCTTACAATCCCCGGCCACTAGGAGCGCCGCATCTGGGTGAGCATTTTCTTGTTTGCTTATGTTCTTATACAGCTCATTGAGTGCGGTCTTAGTGCCAGCATTGGTTTGTGGTGGTAAGTAGATGGCTATGAAAAATATAGATAAAAACTATCTTGGTAAATAGTATGGTGTACAGCTTATCATGAGGTACTGTACCTCAGGAGAGAAAAACCTCAAGACTTATTTAATATTAGAGACTGCGCACCCCTTAGCTGTTCTGTTCTAGATTTATATTTACCATGTCCTTGTTCAGCCACGACTCAGTGAAACATTTTTTACAGTTCTTCAGATCACGTTGGTAGTCTCTAACGGAACTCATCCAGTTTTACTCTCCAGTGACTGGTAGGATAGTCTCTAACGGAACTCATCCAGTTTGTTCTCCAGAGGGAATAGGGAATCCAGTTTTTCCCCCATATGTGGGTATCTTAAGGGGAGTCATCCAGTTTTTTCCAGTGATTGATAGGAAGTCTTAACGGAGCCATCCTTTATTCCCGTGATTGATGGGTTTGTTCTAACGGAGCTCATCCAGTTTTTTTCCCCCGTGTTTAAAGGGATGTCTCAAGGGAGGTCATCCGTTTATTCTCCAGTGATGATGGGAATTTTTAACGGAGCTCATCATTTTCTCCAGTGATTGTAGGTATCTCAAACGGGCCATCCAGTTTATTCCCCAGGTTGTAGGATAGTCTCTAAGGGGCCTCCCCGTTTATTCCCAGTTTTTTGATGGATTGCTCAAACGGGCTCATCCAGTTTTCCCCAGGTTATAGGATAGCTCTAACAGAGGTCATCCATTTTATTCTCCATTTTGTAGGATAGTCTCTAACGGAGGTCATCCAGTTTATTCTCCAGTGATTGCACGTTCACCATCATAACTGTGATGGGTGAGTTGAAGGAGTCAGGTGCAGGAGGGTAAATCACAGAATAACAGGATTTATTCAGGAAAACAGAGTTACGCAGTAATGTGTCAAACAGTCCTTAAGAGAGCCAGCCTACTTTCTGATACAGAATGCAGTGATGTGTACTGAACCTCTCGCCCATAATAAATCCTAGTGTGCTATGATAAACTATGTCCAATGGCTTCAATACAGTGGCAGCTGCATTTATATAGACAATATCGCCACAGTCTAAAGCCGGAATGAATGTCGACTGAATGATACAGTGGGGAAAAAAAGTATTTAGTCAGCCACCAATTGTGCAAGTTCTCCCACTTAAAAAGATGAGAGAGGCCTGTAATTTTCATCATAGGTACACGTCAACTATGACAGACAAAATGAGAAAAAAAAATCCAGAAAATCACATTGTAGGATTTGTAATGAATTTATTTGCAAATTATGGTGGAAAATAAGTATTTGGTCAATAACAAAAGTTTCTCAATACTTTGTTATATACCCTTTGTTGGCAATGACACAGGTCAAACGTTTTCTGTTAGTCTTCACAAGGTTTTCACACACTGTTGCTGGTATTTTGGCCCAGTCCTCCATGCAGATCTCCTCTAGAGCAGTGATGTTTTGGGGCTGTCGCTGGGCAATACGGACTTTCAACTCCGTCCAAAGATTTTCTATGGGGTTGAGATCTGGAGACTGGCTAGGCCACTCCAGGACCTTGAAATGGTTCTTACGAAGCCACTCCTTCGTTGCCCGGGCGGTGTGTTTGGGATCATTGTCATGCTGAAAGACCCAGCCACGTTTCATCTTGAATGCCCTTGCTGATGGAAGGAGGTTTTCACTCAAAATCTCACGATACATGGCCCCATTCATTCTTTCCTTTACACGGATCAGTCGTCCTGGTCCCTTTGCAGAAAAACAGCCCCAAAGCATGATGTTTCCACCCCCATGCTTCACAGTAGGTATGGTGTTCTTTGGATGCAACTCAGTATTCTTTGTCCTCCAAACACGACGAGTTGAGTTTTTACCAAAAAGTTATATTTTGGTTTCATCTGACCATATGACATTCTCCCAATCCTCTTCTGGATCATCCAAATGCACTCTAGCAAACTTCAGACGGGCCTGGACATCTACTGGCTTAAGCAGGGGGACACGTCTGGCACTGCAGCATTTGAGTCCCTGGCGGCGTAGTGTGTTACTGATGGTAGGCTTTGTTACTTTGGTCCCAGCTCTCTGCAGGTCATTCACTAGGTCCCCCCGTGTGATTCTGGGATTTTTGCTCACCGTTCTTGTGATCATTTTGACCCTACGGGGTGAGATCTTGCGTGGAGCCCCAGATCGAGGGAGATTATCAGTGGTCTTGTATGTCTTCCATTTCCTAATAATTGCTCCCACAGTTGATTTCTTCAAACCAAGCTGCTTACCTATTGCAGATTCAGTCTTCCCAGCCTGGTGCAGGTCTACAATTTTGTTTCTGGTGTCCTTTGACAGCTCTTTGGTCTTGGCCATAGTGGAGTTTGGAGTGTGACTGTTTGAGGTTGTGGACAGGTGTCTTTTATACTGATAACAAGATCAAACAGGTGCCATTAATACAGGTAACGAGTGGAGGACAGAGGGGCCTCTTAAAGAAGAAGTTACAGGTCTGTGAGAGCCAGAAATCTTGCTTGTTTGTAGGTGACCAAATACTTATTTTCCACCATAATTTGCAAATAAATTCATTACAAATCCTACAATGTGATTTTCTGGATTTTTTTTCCTCAATTTGTCTGTCATAGTTGACGTGTACCTATGATGAAAATTACAGGCCTCTCTCATCTTTTTAAGTGGGAGAACTTGCACAATTGGTGGCTGACTAAATACCTTTTTTCCCCACTGTATGTTTTCTGCTATTTACGGAAAGACTTGTCCTATTCCTATAAAAGAAGCCCATTTTCATTCTTAATTTCTTAACTAACTCATCAACATGTTTTTTGAAAAATAGCTTTTCATCAATCCAGATACCCAGATATTTATAAGCGGGACACGATCAGTGTGGGACACGATCAGTGTGGGCACCATCCAATGTACATATACATAAATCATAAGATACATTTAGGAAAATAACATATACTTAGTTTGACCTGCATTAAATACCAATTTCAGTTCAACAAAGGCTTTCTGTAAAGTAAAAAAGGCTGATTGTAGTTCTGAAAGAGCCTTGTCAGCAGAAGGGGCAACAGAATACACAACATATAGTCCACATACAAGTGGAGGTCACAATTTCTTATAGACAAACCAATATTGTTTATATAGAAACTGAAAATGTCATGGAATATCAAGGAAACCTGACTTAACACCATCAGAAGAAACACATTGTGTCTGTCAGGTAGTTTTCAAACCAGATGCAGGCTGCCTGACCAGGCCAATTTCAGACAGTCTATGAATTAATAATGAATGGTCAACATTGTTGAAAGCCTTCCACAGGTCTATGAAAAGGGCAGCCCACTGCCTTCTGTCCATGCTATTTACAATGTCATTAACCATCAAAGAAGCCATTACCTGGCCTGGAACCACTAGAACACAATTAGAGGACATTTTGAAGCTAGAAAAGATCTAAGCTGAGTGTTGATTGAAGATTCTAAAATGTTCGCTAGGCGAGACAGTTCAGAGATCAGGTGATAATTATTCATGTCAGAGGGGTCACCCCCTTTTTAGAGGGGGAGCACATGGGCAGCCTTCCAGAAACCTGAGTGGATTTAAATCAGTGGATTTTAGTATTTTCAAATACATGCCAATATTCAAAAAAATAATATTTGAATACTTACTTTGAAATGTATGTGAAAGTAATTAGAGATATTTGAAATAGTATTTGAACCCAGGTCTGTGGTGTGCAGGGTAAACACTGTCTGCTGGAGGCTGATGTGAGCTGTGTTAAAGATCTGCTGAGGAGAGAGATCTACCCCATCATCATCCACATCAAGATCTGTGACAAGAACATCAGGAAGCTAAGGTACCCTAACCTCTAACCCCTAACCTCTAACCCCATCATCATCCACATCAAGGTCTGTGACAAGAACATCAGGAAGCTAAGGTACCCTGACCTCTGTCTCCTACAGGAAGCTGCCCCTGCGTGTGGACAGTGAGGAGGAGTTTGTCAGAGTGTGTCGGAGCAGAGAGAGAGAGCTGGAGAGTGTTCCTAACCCCTGGTCTCTGTCCCTACAGGAAGCTGCCCCTGCGTGTGGACAGTGAGGAGGAGTTTGTCAGAGTGTGTCGGAGCAGAGAGAGAGAGCTGGAGAGTGTTCCTAACCCCTGGTCTCTGTCCCCTACAGGAAGCTGCCCCTGCGTGTGGACAGTGAGGAGGAGTTTGTCAGAGTGTGTCGGAGCAGAGAGAGAGAGCTGGAGAGGGCTCCGTGTCTCTATGTGTGTCTGGAGCCTGAGGAATGGACGGGGCCTGATGACCTCATCAGAGTGGTGAAAGACAGAATTCAGGAGGAACAGAGGAAGACTGTCTGGGTGGAGCAAGACCTGCTGTAACACACACACACACACACACACCACACACACACACACACACACACACACACACACACACACACACACACACACACACACACACACACACACACACACACACACACACACACACACACAACACACACACACACACACACAACACACACACACCTACACACCACACACACACACACACAAAACCACCACGGACAGTGTATACACACACACACACACACACACACACACACACACACACACACACACACACACACACACACACACACACACACACAGACAGACAGACAGGACAGACAGACAGACAGACACACACACACACACACACAGATGCACACATGCACACACACACACACAGGTGTGCAAGATGGCGACGCTGGGTAGGGCAGGCGTTTTGCAGGCTTCCTCTCAACTTTGCTATTTAATGTGTATTTAATGTGTTTTAATGTGTTTTAATGTGTAATTCCTCACTTTGTTCGCTCTGCTAAATGTACTATATTTTTATTCCATCGAGCTTATTTGTATTATTCCTAACGTACAGTACTTACTCCTATTTTTATTATGTCACATTGTTGATAAATGAACCGTAGTAAGCATTTTATTGTACTGCATACCATGTGTATCCTGTGCATATGACAAAATACTCTTGACTTGACACACAACACACGCACGCACGCACGCACGCACGCAACCACAACACACACACACCACACACAAACCCCACACACAACCACACACACACACACCAGACACAACCCCCACACACACACACACACACACACAAACAACACACACACGGGGGGGGGGTGGGGGGTTTTTTTGTAGCATTATGAATAAACCAAACCCGGGTTTCTGATTAAAAACATGTACATTCTCAAGGGGGAATTTTTTAAAAGGGGGACCCAAAAAGAAAACCAAAAAAAAAAAAAAGAAAAAAAAAATTTTTTTTTAAAAAAAAAAAAAAAAAAAACGGGAAAAAAAAAGAAAAAAAAAAACAAAGAAAAAAAAAAACCCCCATTTAAATTTTATTCTAATTATATTTGATTCTTCTATTCTACTCTATCTCCTCTATTTACTATTTATTCTCTATCTACTCTATTCTTATATATATTCTACATATTCATTCTTTCTATAATTCTGTTCTATTCTACTCTATTCTACTCTATTCTATTCTGTTCTATTCTATTCTATTCCACAATTGGCCCAGCGTCGTCCAGGGTAGGGGAGGGAATGGCCGGCAGGGATGTAGCTCAGTTGGTAGAGCATTGCGTTTGCAACGCCAGGGTTGTGGGTTCGATTCCCACGGGGGGCCAGTATGAAAAAAAATATATATGCATTCACTAACTGTAAGTCGCTCTGGATAAGAGCGTCTGCTAAATGACTAAAATGTAAATGTAATGTAAATGTATATAGCCTCCCTACTGTTATTTTATTTTACTTCTGCTCTTTTTTTCTCAACACTTTTTTGTTGTTGTTTTATTTTACTTTTTTATTAAGAAATAAATGCATTGTTGGTTAAGGGCTGTAAGTAAGCATTTCACAGTAATGTCTACACCTGTTGTATTCGGCGCATGTGGCAAATAAAATTTGATTTGATTTGAGTAGCGTAACCAAAAGGTAGTAAATGCAGGCAAGAGTGTCCAAATGGATTCAATAGGATTGGATGTTGGGAAAGAGTGTAGACCAAATGGATTCAATAGGATTGGTTGTTGGGAAAGAGTGTAGACCAAATGGATTCAATAGGATTGGTTGTTGGGAAAGAGTGTAGACCAAATGGATTCAATAGGATTGGTTTTTTTTATTTTTATTTCACCTTTATTTAACCAGGTAAGCCAGTTGAGAACAGGTTCTCATTTACAACTGCGACCTGGCCAAGATAAAGCAAAGCAGTGCGATAAAAACAACACAGAGTTACATATGGGGTAAAAAACATAAAGTCAAAAATACAACAGAAAATATATATACAGTGTGTGCAAATGTAGCAAGTTATGGAGGTAAGGCAATAAATAGGCTATAGTGCAAAATAATTACAATAGTATTAACACTGGAATGCTAGATGTGCAAGAGATTATGTGCAAATAGAGATACTGGGGTGCAAAAGAGCAAAATAAATAACAATATAGGGATGAGGTAGTTGGGTGGGCTAATTTCAGATGGGCTGTGTACAGGTGCAGTGATCGGTAAGGTGCTCTGACAACTGATGCTTAAAGTTATTGAGGGAGATAAGAGTCTCCAGCTTCAGAGATTTTTGCAATTCGTTCCAGTCATTGGCAGCAGAGAACTGGAAGGAATGGCGGCCAAAGGAGGTGTTGGCTTTGGGAATGACCAGTGAGATATACCTGCTGGAGCGCAGACTACGGGTGGGTGCTGCTATGGTGACCAATGAGCTAAGATAAGGCGGGGATTTGCCTAGCAGTGATTTATAGATGGCCTGGAGCCAGTGGGTTTGACGACGAACATGTAGTGAGGACCAGCCAACAAGAGCGTACAGGTCACAGTGGTGGGTAGTGTATGGGGCTTTGGAGACAAAACGGATGGCACTGTGATAGACTACATCCAATTTGCTGAGTAGAGTGTTGGAGGCTATTTTGTAAATGACATCGCCGAAGTCAAGGATCGGTAGGATAGTCAGTTTTACGAGGGCATGTTTGGCAGCATGAGTGAAGGAGGCTTTGTTGCGAAATAGGAAGCCGATTCTAGATTTAACTTTGGATTGGAGATTCTTTATGTGAGTCTGGAAGTTGAGTTTACAGTCTAACCAGACACCTAGGTATTTGTAGTTGTCCACATACTCTAGGTCAGACCCGTCGAGAGTGGTGATTCTAGTCGGGTGGGCGGGTGCCAGCAGCGTTCGATTGAAAAGCATGCATTTAGTTTTACTAGTGTTTAAGAGCAGTTGGAGGCTACTGAAGGATTGTTGTATGGCATTGAAGCTCGTTTGGAGGTTTGTTAACACAGTGTCCAATGAAGGGCCAGATGTATACAAAATGGTGTCGTCTGCGTAGAGGTGGATCTGAGAGTCACCAGCAGCAAGAGCGACATCATTGATATACACAGAGAAAAGTGTCGGCCCAAGAATTGAACCCTGTGGCACCCCCATAGAGACTGCCATAGGTCCAGACAACAGGCCCTCCGATTTGACACACTGAACTCTATCTGAGAAGTAGTTGGTGAACCAGGCGAGGCAGTCATTTGAGAAACCAAGGCTATTTGGTTGTTGGGAAAGAGTGTAGACCAAATGGATTCCATAGGATTGGTTGTTGGGAAAGAGTGTAGACCAAATGGATTCAATAGGATTGGTTGTTGGGAAAGAGTGTAGACCAAATGGATTCAATAGGATTGGTTGTTGGGAAAGAGTGTAGACCAAATGGATTCAATAGGATTGGTTGTTGGGAAAGAGTGTAGACCAAATGGATTCCATAGGATTGGTTGTTGGGAAAGAGTGTAGACCAAATGGATTCCATAGGATTGGTTGTTGGGAAAGAGTGTAGACCAAATGGATTCAATAGGATTGGTTGTTGGGAAAGAGTGTAGACCAAATGGATTCCATAGGATTGGTTGTTGAGAAAGAGTGTAGACCAAATGGATTCAATAGGATTGGTTGTTGGGAAAGAGTGTAGACCAAATGGATTCAATAGGATTGGTTGTTGGGAAAGTTCAACTGAAAACGATTTTTGCATTTGTTTTCAAATAATTGTTTCAATCATTTGTCATAGAGTTTTGCTCTCACTTTAAAATGATTTGCCTGCAAGTTCTTTGGTTTTGCTTTTGATATCATTATTTTTGTTTACAATTCTATACATTTTGCTTTCAATTGTTTGGTGTTTGATTTCAACATCCATTATTTCACTCTTTCTCGAAAATATAATGTTTACATTTTGAACTGTATTTTTCATGTTTACGATGAATTTTATTTTAAATTCAATACATATGGCGTGACACTGGCCCCATAGAAAACTCTCCCTTTCCTGGGTCCGTCAGATCAGAGAGGAAGACAGTACCAACTCAGCGGGAAATCTGTCTCTCTCCAGCAGGTGTCGTCTTTTCATTGTTTCGCCCACCAAGTAAGGAGTTTTTGCGTGGAGGTCAATGAGAGTGTCGAATTTGGTCAACAAAAACATGAATGGGTTATTTGCTATGTGAGGTTTATTTGATCTAATAGAATTTCGTAATGATGTAAGTAGGACACGTGACATCCCAGCAACTTCGAGAAAAAACACTTTATATCGGAGTTGTTCCGAGATGGCCATGTATATTCATGGAATGAGGCTAGTAGCATAACATCTCTCTCCGCTGAATACAAAAAATTGTTTTTGATTACAACATCCATTATTTCACTTCCTTGAAAATATAATGTTTTCATTTTCAACTGTATTTTTCATGTTTATGATTTATTTTGCATTTTTAATTCAATACATATGGCGTGACACTGGCCCAATAGTTTTCACTCATCTCGCTCTGCAGAAAAGGAGCACGAACTCTCGCGTTGTTTCCGTGCTTCGTGAACAGCCTCTCGGTCTGGACACGAACTATCGCGATGTTTCCGTGCTTCGTGAACAGCCTCTCGGTCTGGACACAAACCAGCTGCTCGCGCATCTCAGCTGACGCGGCGGGAACGGGGGAGAGCTCGAGACCCTGGCGGAGGTGAGTTGTGTCTCCGGTAATAATGACTTTCTAACGTCATGATAGATAGGGTTAGGGTACAGGATACATAGAGATTCAGCTCCTTGTCACTGAGAAGCAGAGTGTCTGGCCGGGCTGTGGAAGGAGAAGAGACCGCTGTCCTTCCTTTCTCCATCCTAGCCCGAATCTCCTTTCCCTAACATGTCTATGTATCTAACCCACCCCTTAGAAGTCTGTTTATTCATCAGTCGATCGGTTTCTAAACCGCTCCTGACGTAAAGCCGGTTCTGTCCGCTCCTCGCCTCGCGCTGTGAAAGGCGACATTGTATCCGCGAGAGCCAACGGGGGCTGCTGCTGCACGTGACTAAACCCCGCCGTAATAA